ATGCTGGAGGCATGCATCACCACAGGGTCAACTTCGACAAATACCAACCAGGTTACTTTGGTAAAGTTGGTATGAGGCATTACCACTTAAAGAGGAACCAGAGCTTCTGCCCGACTGTCAACCTGGATAAGTGGTGGACACTGGTCAGTGAGCAGACATGGGTCAATGCTGCCAAGAACAAGACTGGAGCTGCTCCCATCATTGATGTTGTGCGATTGGGCTACTACAAAGTTCTGGGGAAGGGAAAGCTCCCTAAGCAGCCTGTCATCGTGAAAACCAAATTTTTCAGCAGAAGAGCTGAAGAGAAGATAAAGGAGGTGCCTGTGTCCTGGTGGCTTGAACCACCCAGGGAGGTTAATTAAATGCTAACATTTTCCAAAAAAAAAAGAAAAGAAAAGAAAAGGGGAGAGTGGGTCCTAGGCTGATGGATCACCTACTAAAGTGCATTTGCTGCTCTTCTATAGGACCAAGGCTTGATTCCCAACCTTCACATGGCATCTTACAAGCATCTGCAAATTCAGTTCCAAGGGATCCTTATGGACTATGCGGGCACTAAGTATACATACATGCACAGAATACATTAATGCACAGAAGAGGGAAGCATAGGTTAGAAGACAGATCAGGCACCAGAGTGACCTCTAGTGATCTAAAGGGATGACACCAATTGGTAAGCTAAGCAACAGTGGAGAGACCACCTTGAATGCCTATTCCTGATAATGAACTTGATGTCTATAACCATCCTGGAGCCTTCATCCAGTGACTGATGGAAGCAGTGGCAAACACCCACAGTTAAACACTGAACTGAACCCATGGAATCCAGTGATAGAGAGAGAGAGGAGCGATGATCAAATTGGCAAAGAATGGGCTGGCAAAACCAGAGAGACAGCTGATCTGAATAGGGGAGAGCTCTTGGACCCCAGACTGACAGCTGTGAGGCCAGCATGGGACTGATCCTGACCCCCTGAATGTGAGAGTCAGTGAGCAGGCCTGGGCAACCTATGGGGCCCTGGGCAGTGGATCAGTGTTTATCCCTGGCATACAACCGAAATTCGTGTGTTCATCACACAAAGAATGATGCTCTCTCAGCCTGGACTCTTAGGAGAGTGCTTTGACCCCGCCCTGAGTGAAATGACAGACTCTAGATATCCCCTATGTGGAAGGAAGTGGTGATAGGGTGGGAGGCTGGGGGAATGATGGGGGGAGTGGGAGGAGGGGAGGGAGAGGGAACTGGGATTGACATGTAAAACAAGAAAATAAGAAAAGAGAAAAAATATTATGAATAAACAGACAAATAGATGATATATAGTGTACAGAGATTCAACAATAGAATTTAGACAACTAAATAATTTATTTTTTGTTTTACAAGACAGGGTTTCTCTGTTTTGGAGGCTGTCGGTCCAGCCTGGCCTCGAACTCACAGAGATCCGCCTGCCTCTGCTTCCTGAGTGCTGGGATTAAAGGCGTGCGCCACCAATGCCTGGCTAAATAATAATGTTTTAATAATAATAATAATAATAATAATAATAATGTCTTTAATACTGAGCGTTTCTGGAGCTGACACTAAGGACACTTACAGTTACTGCTAGCAGCAACGCCATTCTAAGCACTCTGGAATTCTGGGTAGCAATGGGTAACTCATTGCTATGTCTTCTCTAAAGTGGGAGCAAAACTGTCATTTGACATTGCCAAGGGTCCTTTCCTGCGGAACACAACCTATGCTGAGAAGCTCTGTCCCGCAGTGAAGGATATCTGTGGCAACAACCACAGTCATGTCAGTTATAAGCGTAATACTGTCCTCTGTGTATGCAGCATGCACTCTTACCCCTCCTCCGAAGCCCTTAAGGAGGGGCTTCTATTTTCCCACACAGGGCTGAGCTCTCTCAGGGCTGTTGCCTGCCATCTTTCTGTGTATAACAAGTTATTTCACCCCAAAGAACGGGCAGCCTCAGCGTACCTCCCATATCACCTCTAGAGTCATTTTGCTCATCTCATCCCTCACAGGGTCTCCAGCTGCCTATTTATTCGTCTCATATAATTTTAGCTGCAGATCTAGAGGCAGATGGGGGTAAGGCTGCCAAAACTGAGGATTCTTTAATACATTTGTGTTTTGTTTCCTTACAGGCTTGAGGAACAATGGTAGGGCCTTGGGCTTGCAAGAGAGTCATCTACCTCATTCTGAGTCACACCCATGCAGGGCATACATTAACATATTTCTACTTTCTTGCTGGGGAGCTCCAAATTAGAATCCCAGCATTTAGGGACTGGAGAGGTGGCTCAGTGATTAAGCAGAGGCCCCAGGTTTGATTCCCAGCACCCACACAGTAGTACATAACTATCCCATCATCCCCAACTCCAATTGCAGGGGGATCTAATGCACCTTCTGATGTTGGTGGGCACCAAACATTCCCATGGTGCTTAGACACACATGCAAAAACACCTAGACATAAAATGAATAAACCTAATCAAAAGTAATAAGAAAGGAACTCCAGTATTTGGAAGGTTTGATAAGAGGAAGATTGCAGTGTGCCTGGTGCTCCGATGCCAAGCTGAGTTTCAGGCCACTCTGGGCTATGTAATGACACAGTATTAAAAAAATAAACAACAAAACAAGGACTTATTTTAATAATAGTTTTTGTAAGGCACATGAGCCTACCAGGACCATTTGTTTTTCAGGGCGTTTCCTCTCCAGCCAGGCTCTGTCTCACCTGCATGGGTGAGTCTCCTCCTAGGAATCTCTTGAGGGCAGGGATGAGGGAGGGCGTGACACTCCATGGGTGGCGGGGGCTCCTGGCCTGATCCATGCCCTGTAAGGTTTGGAGAAGTCAAGGTTTGCTACCCTCCCTTCAGGTCCCTTTCCTTTCCTACCCCCATCTGGGGTTGTTGCCCTAAGTGATCCAACCACATGTGGGACCAGCACATCCTAGCTGGCAGCCACTGGCACCTGCTGCCTCAGGGAGGTCCCAACCACCCCAGTTCCCATGCATCATCCTGGATCCCTGTCTCCCAACCTGGCCTGCCAAGGGTCCCATTGACCTGGTCCCACCCCACAAGATCCCAAAGTCTTACTGTGTATAACTCCAGGTGATGTTTCTGTATTTATAGCAGTGTTGAAGATCCACGTGCTTTTGGAAGAGGGTCTAGGTCCTGCCCCATATGATGTGACAGACTTTGATGATCCCCCATGGGAGGCCTCATCGGCCCTGAGGAGAGAATGAGGAATGGGATGGAGAGATGGTGGGAGGACAGGAGGGAAAGGAAACTGGGATTGATATGTAAAATAAAATTGTTTTTAATTTAAATGAAAATTCATTTAAAAAAAGAAAATCCACGTGTTTTACACAGAGAACCATCTTCACCAACACCCATCTCTTCCTCACCCCAACAAAATGTTGCTTTTTTATATTTTATTTTTAAATTTAAATTTAAATGAGAAACAAGGTTGCTTTACATGTCAATCCCAGGTCCCTCTCCCTCCTCTCCTCCTGTGCCCTCCTACCAACCCCCCCCAATATCCCCTCATTTCCCCAGGGAGGGTGAGGCCCTCCATGGGGGTGTCCATAGTCTGTCATTTCATCCAGGGCAGGGCCTAGACCCTCCCCCAAGAGTTCAGGGTGCATCAACAATGAGAGTACATCTCTCATTGTTGGATGGGAGCCCAAAGTCCAACAAAAGGTTTTTAAACCTCGTGATTCCCGGGGCAGTGGAAGTGCTCATGGACTGTGCCAGCTGCAGTGACAATCCCATCAAGCAGCTACTGGGGAGCTGGGATTGACGTGTGAAGCAAGATTGTTTCTAATTTAAATAAAAAGATAAATAGAAGATTTGTGAAACAATTACTCAGGATGTTTGTGACTTACCAGCTTTGATGTAGCTGCCATGTTACCAATGATTTCCTGTGCTGGGGGCTGGGCATTGTTTACTATTTGTCAACTTCTGGCCTAAGCATGACAGTGGGCGTCTTCCCCCAGCACTGCTAGGCCCAGCACCTGTATTCTGTGTTAGAAAGGTTTTACATACACATACATATATAAACATATGTGATTTGGGTTCACAGTTCCATGCACCTTATTATTACCTCATTTTCCCCTTGTATGTAATGAGAAAATGCTAATATATAGAAGAAAAATGGTTCTTAAAGCTTAAATGTGTTTCCACCTTCCTATTGGACTCACATTGGTTTGTAGCATTTAACACAAGAGTAGGCTGTATTATATATGTGTATATGGATTGCAATTTTTAATAGATTTACACTTTTAAGAATGAAAGTTGACAATTCTGATTGACCTAGTAGTGCAATATTTCGTTTTTAAACAGTGTTGCTAGTTTAGAGCCACTCTGGGTGTGCAGTTTCAGAAGCCTCCAACCGAGGAATGGCATGTTTGATGTTCTTTGAAACTGTCTTGCTGTGTAGCTTTGACTAGCTGCCAACATCCTCCTGTCTCCGCATTCTAGGTGCTGATTACTGAGTGTTTCCAACAAGCCAAGTTGATGTTGGTGAGGAAGGGAGATTTACATGGGGGGATAGGAAAACGTCTGCTGTTAACAGTGAAGAATGAAGCATTGATGCCTCGGAGACGCTGAATACAGCCCCATGGTAGCATGTGTTAGCCTGCTCTAGGCGGCATCTACCTTCTCCAGGGGAAATCTTCCTGCAACAGCAGGTGTTTGCGAATAATGCAGCCCTACCACACCCTGGCTCCCTCTTCTCCCTGAGTAGATTATGCCCCTACTTCCCTTCATGCTGTCTGCACCTTGTAACACTTGCAAAATCCGGGGGGGGGGGTGGCTAATATTACTGGAAACAAAATCATCAGTCCCTGTTTACCGGGGTGCATAGCCATTTCCTTAATAAACATAACTTTATTTGAGCCTTTTCAGTCTGTCTTTGAGAAATGGGCACCAACTGTTGTTGGTGACCGGATGATTGTGCTCATTAACCATTAAAACTGTTGTTTTATGGTGTTACTCCGGATTACAGGAAAAACCAAAGAAGAAACCGATTTCTTAACATACAAACTTTTATTAAACAAACCTGGACTCAATAGTATTATTTTATAAATTAGACAGCAGAAAAAATTTCCTGGGGCAAATATATAGAAAGATATAGATATATACACAAATCACAGTGATTTTTAATTGTGCAGCAGGATTAGAATGTAAGAAAAAAAAGAGGCTTTTTCATTCTGAGTGATAGTTTCAGGCAAGCCAGCAGGTGCTCAGCAGTGAGGACACACCTGTACAGTGCACGCGACATCTGTTACATCAGGAGGTCAAGTGGCGTGTACCCACACTGTGAGAAGAACTAAGGCTGCCAACGGGGTTTGACTCTGGTCCTGTGAGGATTGGGAAGGCCAGGGAGGCTCCTGCTCACTTCCCCTAAGTCACACAAGTAATTTTGTCTATTACATAACCTACTGGAGCAAGCCCTGCCTCCCCACCCCAGGAAATGACAGTGTGCAGTTGGATGCAAAGGCTGTGCGGTTCGCAAGGCAGATCTGATGGGAACAAGAAACGGTACGGACATGGACACGGACACGGACACGGACACGGACACACACACACAAGCACACAGAGAGATGGGGGAATCAACCCATGCAAAAACCTTGACTTTGCATCACAATTTTCAGGTGGTTTGCAGTGTGTGTGAGAAACAAGAATGACAAGCGTCAGGTTTTCATTAATGCTCCCTATGGAATTTATCAAAAAACGACAACAACAAAACAACAAAACACAAAAAAATCCAGGAAAGCGACACGCCTCAAAATCTACAGCCAGGAGTGATAATTCTTCCCCGGCTTTTCTCTCTGACATCAAGACCCACACAACGCTGAATCTTGGCTAGAGTTCACTGAACAGCACAGTGGTTATGACTGATATGTTTTGGTCCAATGCTGAGATATTTGCACAGCCGGAGGGTCATGTGGACAGTATTTAGCCATCGAATCACATTTTACAGTGTAACATGAAACAGCACCATTCCACAGCACTTAGTATTTTATCTCTACTAAACACTAAAAAGAAAAATCAGTCTTGGTTGGAGAGCATGGGGATTTGTTTTTAAATTAGTATTGGTTACTGATTGTTTTTTCTTTTGTACTTGGTTCGAATCAAACCACCACCTGAGGAATCTGTAACTTATTAACTGCCCCACTGCTTTATGAGAAGGTGCTGGGGGCACACTTCTCCTAGGACATGTTTCCCTCATCCTTTTTCCTGGTTGTTTCTGCCCCATCAACCCTTCCTAATTTTATTTTATTTTTGCATGTCAACTATGTGGACTGCAGAGGACTCAGGTTGGGTTCCCAGCATGCACAGGGCAACACACAACCACTTGCATGTCCAGCCACAGGGTCTCTGGAGTGCCTTGCTGGCCCCCACATGTATTGCAGTCACATGCACACACACTAAAAACACTAAGATAAAAAATTATGATTCCTATGCACTACCTGATGTCACTACAATGACATCACATGGTATAATTTACAGCCCAATTAAAGGTGTTACATTTGATTTTTAGGATCAGGGGTCAGATTGCTAAGTACGTTAGGAGCACACTGTGGTCCTCATATGTGTTTAGAATTAAGGCAATGTTTCCTATGCTAATTTTACATTATTTCTTATGTAATATCAAATGCTGACAGCACCTATGTGGGTCAGCGTGTCTATTCCGTTTGATTATAATCCAGAATTCTATCTCCTGTGTATGTCTGTTCGTGGTACATAACCCGGTTATTTTGCATATTGGAAAGGGTTGGGAAAACTCACTGAAAATACAGCTCTGTACAAACGTTCAGAAAAGTTCCCGGTCTAGAACCTGAGTTTTTACAGATGGACAAGACTGGGAGGACAGGATTGAGTTTGGTGGGAAGAAAATGCCATTTATGACAGAGGAGGGAGTTGAGGGGTGGATCCTTGAAGTTCCCTTTTGGGAATGTGGATAAATCTGTAGTATCATAAAAAGACAAACTTTGCACCCAGGTTGCCATATGGCTAATGCAGTATGCAGAGTTCTGGCTTACCTTTAGGAAGGGATATTTTACTGGAGACGTCTAAACTGGAAGATTGGGAAAAGCCACCTGTTTGTGCCATATTTGAATGAGGAGCCTGCAGGGCATGTGCCTTCCCGACTTCTGAGTTTATAGTGACCAGAGAGGAACAAAATAAACAAACAGTGACTAAACAACACACATACATGACTGCAAAATGCATAGAAAAGCATTTTGAAAATGCATACATCGCACCCTTTTTTTTTTGCCTGCAGGGTGACAGATTTTTCAGAAAGTTTTGAAAGTAAACAAGTCACAGGCATGTCAAAGTACCAAATGTCCAGTTTTGCACAATGTCTGTGCATATACATAGTGACAGCTATCATCAAATGGGTCAAATTCAAACTTACAAAATTCAGTAGAACAACAACAACAAAACCTAAACCCATGGCAGGAACACAAGACTCACGAAGAAACAAAACATCTACAGTTTAACAGGCTTTGCAAACTTCCCACCAGGCAGGTTTCCAGTTGTGGAAATGAGGCCGGGTCCTGAGGGCAATGATTCCGTTAACCTTGAAGGGATAGTGGATACATATACTGAATCCTTCTGGTTTTTCAGCAAAAACAAAACAAAACAAAACAAAACCAAAAAACCAAAAAACAAACAACAAAAACAGTTCTGGTCCTCAGTGCTGCATGGAATTCTTCACGCTCCTAGTGAAGAAAAAAGGAAAGGGGGCGGGGTTAAGTGGTTGGTAACACTTACTACCAACTGACCTGTCAATCATTGTAAGAAAGTCTGCATACTGGCTAACTCACCATCTTTGGTTGCATGGAGTGTATTTCCCTCGTGGTAAGTTCAAGGCTATTCTCAGCTACATGACAACCTACCTTAAAATTCAGAAAAGACAAAAAGTTTCACCTTGCAGATGTCGGTTCCCATCCTCAGAAATTTTTGAACGTTTCCAGTTCTTTGTCGGACACAGGAGGGGTCTTGTCCCAGTCACTCTCTGGATAAGTCTCAAAGTTGGAAGTATCGCCATCACCCGATAACTTGGGCACAATGGGTGGCTAAGTGTCACACAAAATAAATAAATAATTGACTCATCATTAGACAGAAATGTGAGGAAGTCGGATACTTTTGTTGATTGACAGTAATGTTTGCATGGCTCATGGGGAACGGTGGTATCAGACAGCTCAGTGGGGACATGCAGTGCCTGTCACTCGGACTGTAAATTTTACAGGGAGGGGCTAAAGGTACGTTGGTACTGCAGTTGCAAGGTGTACATAAACACAGACATACACACATGTAGGTAATTACTAACTAAGCCTCTGGTAAGTTAATTTGTAAGACTGAGACACAGCAGGAGCTCGATGGGCGGTTAGGAAAGGATATGGAGGGGTTCGTTTAGTTCAAGGGTGTATGATATTCCCACCTTCAGTTTCCTCTGTGGCACAGACTCCCAGTCCACACCCCGGAACCACCGGTGCCGCTTGATGTCTTCTACCCCGTTCTTGAGAATAAACATATACACTCAGCAAAAGGTATTTGAAAAACATTGTGTGTTTGTGTAGCATGTGTAAAATCTCTCTCTAATAAGGCAGTTAAAAAAAATAAGTGACCAGGTGTGGTGGCACATGCCTTTAATTCCAGGACTCTGATGACTGAGGCAGGTGGATGTCTGTAAGTTTGAGGCCAGCCTAGTGTACATAGAGAGTTCTAGGACAGCCAGACTCCATGGTGAAGCCCTGTTTCAAAAATCAGTAAGGACAAGTAAATTAAAACTCTTAATAAGAATAGTAAGTCAACATGAGTAGCGGGGCACACCTGTCATGCCTGCTCTGGGAGGTAGAGGTAGGTGGGTCGCATGTTCAAGGTTATTCTCAGCTACATAGTGACTGATTCCGGCCTGGGCTACATGAAAACAGCAAAACATGGGCCAGAGAAACGGCTTCTCTAGCAGAGGATCCAGGTTCAGTTTGCAGCACCCACATGACAGTGGCAGCTGCAATGAAGCCGGTGCGCTCTGCCCACTGTGGTGGGTAACGTACCCATGTGCTATATACACAGAATTAATAAAAATCAATAAATAAACCACAAAATAACTTGAACATTGTCTGGGACCCTCTGAGTGGATGCTGTTACCATCAGTGTGCAAACTGGAATACTCTGGCATGACTCACCTTCATGCTGCCCAGACGCCGGGTTCTGTCCACCACCAGCAGCTTCTTGATGAGGTCCCTGCATGACCAGAGCAGACTTCATTTAGACCTGGCAAATGCCAGAACCAACGCTGGCACAAACCCCACCTGCACCCACACACAGTGTGTCCATGGGGAAAGCATTTGTGGGGAGCGGCTTGCACCCTGGGCTCCTACCCGTAACAATGAGCTTCAACCCTTGACCTCTGGCTTCTGCCCTCTACATGCCAGGGCTACAGAAGTGTGTGTCATTTACATGGTGAAGGATGGAGCCCAGGTCTTGGGGCATACCGACAGCACCAACACTCAACTCACTGAGCTACAGGCCCATCCAGCCACAGGCACTCTACCCACTGAGCTACAAGTACGCTATGCAATACTCAATTCCCAAGTACTCAATTAGTAATTACCTCTAACTCTACCAATTGAGGTATAAGCACTGTCCTCACTGAACAACAAGCACCTAGCCAACTGTGCCACAAGCACCCTCCCTACTAAGCTACAAGCACTCTGTGCACCAAGTTACAAAAGCTCTAGCAGCTGGGGTGTAAGCACTCTAACCCAGTCAACCCTGCACACGCAATCTGCTTGCTGCCCTACAAGCACTCCACCCACTGAGCTACAGGCCCTCCATCCAGGGAATTTTGCCTGTAACCCTTCAGCGCTGATCTATCCCAGCATCATGCTCTCCTGGGTAACTGACAAGGCTACTGTGCAGGCCCACAGCTGTGTTCCTTTACCCAGTTCTGGAGAGGGAGACTGAATTTGCAGGCTGAGCACACCTGCTGAGTGAAATCGCAAACGCGTCACTCTCCTGCGTCTTTATCGTGGATAAAAGACAAGAGAATGCAAAGGACAGGACAGTGAGGGGTGGTAAATCAAAGACTTTAAGGCAGGGTGAAGACAGGTATGCACTCGTGTGCTCAAATGCCCTGCAATCCAGAGCACCTATGATAATATCTGACAGGGATGAAGTTCAGTGGAAAGGGTGCTTGGAACTCAGTGGGCAGAGTGCTGCTCCTGTGCTTACGCACAGTGAGTACGGTGCTCACCCAGCCCTGGGTTCCATCTGCTGCACTACACACCCTGGATACGGTGGCACAAGTCTGTCACCCTGCTTTTGGGAGACTGGAAAAGGAGGATCAGAAATTTGGGGCTACGTGGGACCTTTCTTCCCAATTAACTAACTAAATAAGCAATTGGAGATCAAGGCTCATTCTGATTAGAAAACACTCAACTCTGATCACATTCAAATCAAGGAAAGTCAAAGGTGTTCATATAGTTTTAACCCTTCTTTTTCTTTCCCACTAATTTTGTCATAATCTTCATGAAAATGGATGGTCAGCATGAATACTGAGCACATTTTTTAAGCATCATGTTGACCTCTAAACATCTTGCATGCAATAATTCTTTATGATGGGTGCAATTTCAGTGAGAGGGGAAAAATTAACATTTGTAAAGCCACAGAGCTTCATTCTTCTAGCTTAATAAATAAACCAATCTCAGCAAAATGTACCATAGATGTGTATAGAACTGTCAAAAGAACATGAAGAAAAGCCTGGGACCCCAGCATCTCCTTCAAAGTCCTACCTGCAATAAACTAACTTCCTCCCACTAGGCCCCTCTTCTCTTGGTGGTTCAAAAAAGAGCTAAAAAATTTAAACAAGTTAAAACGTTAATAAATAGGCCTGGCATGGTGGTGTACAGATTTCACCTCAGAACTCAGGGAGCCAACATCTCTGAGTTCAAGGGTAGTTTCATCTACACAGCAAGTTCCAGGACAGCTAGGGCTACAAAGTGGGACCCTCTCCCAATTTGTAAACTAACAACTAATAACTTAAACAGATGAATGGATGGATGGACAGAGTGATCGCTTATAAAACTGGTTCCAAATCTGCAATAATTTCAACAACTTCTATCTCAAAAGGAATGAGATATGTAACAGGCCTTCCAAATATTACATTTCAGTGAAATGAGAATAAGTAAAAGGTTTTCCCTTCCCGGTGGAAAAAGTGACTGATATAAGTAATGAATCAAGAGTGTTTGCCAGGAGTTTGTGCTAGCCATATTATTTCACAAAGTGTTGGAAATAAACATAGGGACAGGGCAGGAAACCGCGAGAGCACTTACTTAGAGGTGAAATCCAAATGTTTGGGGAAATCTATTTTGCAGGCAAGGATTTTCTGGTAAATCCCAAAAGGGTTGTCATCGAAAAATGGGGGAAACCTGTTGCAGAGAGAAGTGTGTAGTTTTAGCAGAATTAAATACAGAACTATGCGACTTTTTGCCAATTACTATTTTTGCTTAGTGAACGGAAAAATTAATTTGTGTCAGATGGATCTACTGCTTGACAATTGGCAACATGGCTGTGTGAAGACACAGGAGACAGATGGTCTCAGGAGGTAGTGTAGCCACAGGAAGACAGGGAGCGCATGGAGGGTCCTGATTCCTGCAAAGAGCCTCTGTTGATGGCTTCCTCCCCAGCCAGAGGTGAGGCTGATAAAAGAAACCTTCAAGGGGTGGGGCTTAGTGGAAGTTAGTTAGGTTATTGGAGATGTGCCTTTCAAAAAGACACTGGGACCCCAGGCTCTTCTTCACAATCACTTCAGCATGAAAACAGTAATTTTCTAGTGATTCTAAAGCATTTCCTTGTGTGTGTGTGTATGTATATGTTATAAATTATATTATGTATATATTTGTGCATATTAATGTGGTTTTATATGTACAAATTTCGAAGAAAATATATTTCATGGATTGTTCACACACAATATATATACAAATTGTCCAGAACACATGACTAGGACATCATTTGCATATAGGGTCTTTGCCTAGAGAATAAGTGACAGATCTTGACATGAGTCCACCCTGGGTAAGGATGACCCTAAGTATAGTAACAGTAACATCAAGACAGACAGAAGGGATGCACCCTCAGGAGAAGTCATGTGGAGATAGGATTGGTGGGGCCACAAAAGTCAAGATTATTTGGAGCCTCCAGGAGCTGTAAGAGTGGATGGATGGGTGGGTTGATGGGCAGATGGATGAGTAGGGGAATGGATGGGTGGTGGGTGGATGGATGAGTGGGTGTGTGGATGGGTGGCTGGATAGATAGATGGATAGGTGGGTGTCTGGATGGGTGGCTAGATGCATGTATTGGCGGGTAGATGTATGGATGCATGCATGTATGGATGGGTAGATGGATGGGTAGGTGGATGTTCCCTCTTGAAAAATTTCATAGTATTTTAGTAAAATCGTCCTGCAAGCTGTTTTTCTGTTTGGTTTGATCCACAAAGGATGAACTTTCTTTCTATCTTGGCACCAGGGAAAAGCCCATGGGGCTGGAATAACTGTCACTTCCGCAGCAGAAGCCAGTGACTCTTTAGGTCTACACAGGTGAACACTGGCATGGTGTTGGCCTCCAATTGCCCCAGCTATACCTAGACCTGTGAGCATCTCAATTTCAAAGTTTACACAATTTTCTCAGGTGTATACTAGACTTGACAGATACCAGAAACCCTCAGGAAGACTAACCTTCCTGTCAACTGGGAGACAGAAACAGAGCTCATCACTCCCACGTCCTATGCATTGCCAAGAAAGGGAATTTAGTGTAAAACAAAACAAAACACAGTCTTGCCTTCCTTGCCTGCTCTTCCATCACTACTAACTAAGCTGTTGGGCAAGTGTCATTTGTTCACCATGGGTACTATTCAGGCTCATGTGTCATCCCACAAAAAAAAACATGAATGGTACACATAAGGAATTATTAGATGTCTATGAAAATTTAAATTCTTGTTTAAGTCACCCTCTACATCTTGATAGTGGTGTAGATGAGTGCATCCATGTGCCAAGTGTTAGAACGGAGATTCCAAGGTATTGTGTGGTGTGTGAAGGAGACATTGTGTGAATACAGCCACATTTGTTAGGAGAGTCACTCACCCAGACAACATCTCGAATATAAGGATGCCCAGTGCCCACCAGTCCACGGCCCTCCCATGACCTTTGCTCTGAATGACTTCTGGGGCAAGATATTCTGGTGTCCCACAGAGGGTCCATGTCCTGTGGGGTGACAGAAGCACAGAACCCATAAAGTTTGGAAGGCGCTGTAACATACAGTTGATGAAGGCCATGTCACAAGCATGGACACCATGCAGAAAACTGACATATGACCACATAGGTTGAAATTTCCTAACTGAAAGAAACCAAAATGCTCCCAAATCTAAAACTTTCTGAGCACCAACTCAAGTGACAAGTGTAACATTTCACGATGTGAAAGTATTTGAGGCACAAGCCATATTTACTGTGGGCAGACCCATTTTCTAGGCATGTGGAAGCTGTGGAGTGAGCTTTAACTGTCAACTGACACAACCCAGAATCCCCTGGGAAGGGTCTCAGTAAAGGATATCCCACATTAGCCTGGCCTGTGGGCCTAAGTACATGAACCTGTCCCATAAAGCTAAGGGAATACAAACTTTGGGCATTCACTATGGCTCAGCTGGTAAAGTTGCATAAGCCTAAGACTGATCCACATAAGAGGTAGAAGGAGAGAACGGACAGCAAAAGGCTGTCCTGTTATTCCCACACATGCACCAGGCAGATATGTGTCCAAAAATTCAGCATACACACAATGATGATGATGATGATGATACAGAAACACTCCTGAATCTAAGCCCCTTTCCTTGTTTGTAGCACTGGCTGGCCTCAAACTTGCCCACCCCTGGGTTGTCATAGACCACCACACCCAGCTGCTCCATGTATGTTGATAACTGACCCTACAGTGACACGCTCTTCACTGAATGCCTTCCTTACAAGCATTACCATATATAATTTACTTAATGGTCTCATGGTCATTTTCTGGCCTCTGCCAGTACTGTTCTCACATGAACATACACACAGATACACATAATTAAAAAATAAAACTGAAAGTAGTAAAGAATACTAGGAAAGGAGAGAGTGGAAAGTGGGTAAATCAATATGCAGTAGTAATCACCTTTAACATTAGTGATATGGTCAGGGAATGTGGCTCACTTGGTAGAGCACACATCTGGCATGCGGTAGGCTCTGGGTTCAATGTCTAGCATGGCATACAAAAGAGGTGGAGGCAGGAGGATCAGAACTTCAGAGTTTTTGTCCATTTTGAGACAGCACTTCTCCGTGTAACATCCCTGACTGTCCTGGAAATTGTTTGTGTAGACCAGGCTAGCCTCAAACTCACAAGAGATCCACCTGTCTCTGCCCTTTGAGTGCTGGGATCAAAGTTGTGTGCTATCATATCCAGTTTTAATTTATATTTAAAAATAGCCAATTGGTGTGGCAAACACCTGCTGACATCTGCAAATTGCACAGCATATAAAATAAGAAAAATCGATTGTTTCTTTCTTCAAAAGATTCAACTAAAAATAAATTAAGCCCTGGGCTTTTTTCTTTTTTTTTTTTTTTTGGTTGTGAGACTTTTGACGACCGGTTCTTTTTCATTAGGGGTTATAGGTCTATTTAAATTGCTTATCTGTTCTTGATTTAATTTTGGTAGGTGATATCTATAAATTTCCAATTTTGTGGAGTACAAGCTTTCAAAGTATGACCTGATGATTCTCTGGATTTCCTCAGTGTCCGTTGTTATGTCCCCCTTTTCATTTCTGATTTTGTTAATGTGCATGTTGTCTCTCTGCCTTTTGGTTAGTTTGGATAAAGGTTTGCCTATCTTGTTGATTTTCTCAAAGAACCAACACTTTGTTTCATGATTTGTTGTATTGTTTTCTTTGTTTCTACTTTATTGATTTCAGCTCTCAATTTGATTATTTCGTGGTGTCTAGTTCTCCTGGGTTAGTTTGCTTCTTTTTGTTCTAAAGCTTTCAAGTGTGCTGTTAACTCTCTAGTATGACTACTCTCCAGTTTCTTTAAAAAATTAAGCCATACAAGATTGAATAAGCAACACGTGATAGAGCTCTAAAATGAAATATCATTCAGTCACGAAAAGGATGGAAAGTTTGACAGGTGGCACCACATAGATAAGGAGGCCATTGTGTAAGTTGGGCATAAAAAGGAAAAAATATTGCAATGATATGTGTGTATCAAGGTGTGGCCAGGAAGACCCAGAGAGGCACAATGCACACCAGGAGAGAATGAAGAGAGTGACAAGTGACTGCTTCATGGTTCATGGTTCACCTGATGAAAATGTCCTGGAGCTGGGACCATGGTAAAGTTGACAGAGCACTGGCCCAGTGTGCTTGAAACCCTGCAGAGATGCTCAGGGGGTCAAAGCACTTGTGCCAAGCCTGACAACCTGAGTTCAACTCCCAGGACCCACATGGAGGCAGGAGGGCACTGACACTTGCAAGTTCTCCTCTGACCTCTCTACCCTGGAACATCCTCCCATCCAATATAAATAAATGTAATAAATCTTTTTTCAAAAGTTGGCTTGGGTGATGAATCAGTGAGTAGGAGTAGTTGTGGGAACCTGAGTTTGATTCCCAGCACCCACATGGTGGTGGTACAACCACTGTAACTCCAGTTCCAGGGGACACGTACAAGTCACAGCACAAGGACTTCCTAAAAAGGACTCAGGAAGGTTGATGGAGGGGAGGACACAAAAGCCTCTGTGCAGCAGACCAGACAGAGCAGGGAACAGATGAGCAGGAAAGTTCTGTAAGCAGAATGGACAAAAGGGACTCAGGCCCAGAAGCTGTAAACAACGGATCCAGACCTGGTGCGAGGGATGGTGCGGTTCAACTCCGACACTTGCAGGGATGGAAGTATATGTCAGTGAGTAGACTGCCTATGGTTTGGTGAGTCAGGTGCTTGGAGCTGAATGGGTAGAGGACTTGCTTAGCAGGCACAGAGCCCAGATTCTATTCCCAGCATAAACAGGGTGTGGAGATGCTCACCTGTCATCTCAGCACTCGGGAGGTCAAGGCAGGAGGATCAGGAGTTCAAGGTCATCCTCGGCTGCCTGGTAAGTGCCAGGTCAGTCTGTGTAACAAGAAAACTAAATGACTCAGAGAGATACTGGGGTTGAAACTTCAAGCTGGAGTTCAGAAAGGCAAAGCAGCCGGTCACTAGTTCTTACCACTATCTCAGGCTGAATGGGCTGATCCTGCTGCCTCTCCTCAGTGAAGCTGGAGAATCCTCAATGTGGCTGGAAAATGAATGCTCTATACACCTTGCTCCTATCTTACATACCTCTCATGAGTCCTGGGATTAAAGGTGTGAGCTATAATTCTCTTTAGGACTAGATCAATTTTGTGTAGATATGGATGGCCTTGAATTTAGAGAGATCCTTCTACCTCTCAATCCTGAATCCTGGGATTAAAGGTGTGTACCACCGCCTCCTAACTGGGGTTAAAGGTGTGTGCCTGGTTTCTATGGCTTGTGGCTGACTCTGCTTTCTGAATCCTCAGGCAAGCTTTAATAAATCATAAATAATACAAGTGTGGGCTGCACATACTCCCTCTACCTCCCACCCCTCCCCAATGGAATCAAGTAGAATTCAGTCAGCCACAGACAGGCTCCTGTGTGCTTCTGGGCCCACTAACTCAGATTTCGATCCTTGTAGCCTGACTCAGTTAGAACAAGATCAGGGCAGATAGAGCATGGCAGCCCATGAGGTCATGGGTAACTGTACCTGAGACAGCTCTGCTTACCTGACTGGAAACTGAGTCTTTCTGTGTCTGCCTCAGGCTGAAGGCTTGCCTGCCTTAGGCAGAACTTTCTACAGCCTTGAACCTGACTTCTTTCTATAGCCTTGAACCTCTATGCACACAATTATTTTTGCGAAATGCCCCAATGGCTGCCTGGTTGGTCAAGGGTATTTAGTACACTCTGCTAGTACTGGGACCTCAGAGAATCTGTCTCCTGCACAGAGACACCCTGCTGAGGCCAGAAAGTACCTGATTCCACCAATGCAAAGCCTTCTCCCCCCCCCCAACCTCTTGGCTATGGGTTAACAGGAACGTGACACCATCTTCTTTGTTATCTGCAAGGAGCTCCTTAGCCATGAGCAAAGGAACCTAAGGAAAGAGTTCTATAAATAGAACACACTAAGATGGAGGCTGGAGAGGTAGCTCAGCCTTAAGAGTACTGGCTGCTCTTGCAGAGAACCTGGCTTCAGTACCCAGCACCCACGTGACTGTATACATCTACCGGTAACTCCAGTTCCAGGGGATCCAATGCCCTCTTATGACCTCTGTGAGTAACACACACACACACACACACACACACACACACACACACACACACACACACAGAGTACACACAGACATAAAATAAATACATCTTAAGGCAAAAAAATACAACATTAAAAACTGAACTGCCACTGGGAAGTGGCAGAACATGCCTTTAATTCTAACACTCAAGAGGCAGCAGTAGACGGATCTCTCTGAGTTCGAGGCCAGGCAGGTCTAGAAAGTAAGTTCCAGAACAAGCAGAGCTGTTACACAAAGAATGTCTGTCTCAAAAAAAAAAACCCAATAGAACAAACTGAAAAACTGAACTGCCATGTGAGCCAGCTTTAGTATCCCTGGACATATATGTTTGTGTATATAAAATATACAAGCATATATATGTATTTATATGTATATACATATATACACAATTATATAAATGTATATAAACGTATATAAATACATAAATTGTGTAACTATAATGCAATATAGAGATGCATTTAAATATATATACATATTTGCATATATATATATATTTGTATACACACATATATTCAAGTATGAAGTCATTCACACACAGACAGTATTACAATTTTCCAGAACAAAATTCAACCACTTTGATGACAGAATGATTTTCTCCTTTGCTCACAACCTGCATGGGCACCCGCCACTCCCAAGGTTGAACAGTAGATGTGAACTGTTCCCTGCAGACTCAGGCATTTTAACACTTGGTGTCCAGCAGGTGGTGTTGCTTGAGAACACTCTGGACAAGCTTTAGGAAAGGCGAACCCTTACTGGAGGAAGTGGGTTTGATAACCCAGCCCTACTTCCTTTTTACTCCTCTTGTATACGGCTGCCCTCTATAATGCTCCCATTGGCACATGATCCATATGAAACCAGGGACCAACTAACATAAACCTGTTCTTCCTTAAGCTGCTTTTTAGGAGTATTTTGTGACACCAATAGGAAAAGAAATGAGATACCCATCCAGACAGATGGAGGGAGAGGTGCATCACACCAGAGCCCACCACACATCTTCTGTCCATTTCTGTCCACCCATCTAAATCGAACCTTCAATTTTCAATTAACCTCTGATGACCCCATGATTGCCCCTGCTCACCTATCCACCAGCTTCTTGGAGAAGCCGAAGTCGGTGAGTTTGATGTGCCCTTCCCGATCTAGAAGGATGTTTTCGGGCTTCAGGTCCCTATAGACAATCTCCTTGGCGTGCAGGTACTCGATGGCACACACAATCTCTGTGGAGTAGAAGATTCCAGCAACTGAGGAGAAGCGGCCACGGTTCCTCAGGTAGGTGAACAGCTCACCACCAGGCACGAACTCCATCAGCATGTACAGAAAGCGGTTGTCATGGCCAGTCCAGAACCTGTGAGACACAACAGAGTGCATGATGGGGGTGTGCTCAGATGTGGATGCAGATGGATGTTGGTGGTTGACAGACACCGACGGCAAGACATGTATACAGACTGTGGATACACAGAGGTAGATGTTCCCATTAATATACCGGTATACTCACACACTAACAGGTGCATATATGCAAATGTCAAAATATAAATACAGGTATCAAGATAAACACACAAACAGGTGCAAACATATGCATGTGCCCTGGTTAGCTCCCACTGTCAACTTGATGGCCCAGAGTTACTTGGGAAAGGTCTCAGTGGAGAATTTCCTATGTCAGACTGGCCTAATGGGCAAGCCTGCAAAGAGGCTTTCAGTTGACTAATGGATGAAGACCATGCCCACTGTGGGTGACACCATTTCCTAGCTGGGGGAAGATGTGTTGTCAGCTTTAACACAGCCTGGAGTCACCTAGGTAGGGTCTCAGTGAGACATTTCCCACACCAGACTGGCCCGTAGGTGTCTGCAGGGAGTGTCCTGTTTGATGACTGACATACGAGGACCTGCCCACTGTGGAGAAGGCTTATTGGGCTAAATGAAAGTTTTCTGCTTCTGGTTCCTGCTCTGACTTTCCTCAAAGATGAGCGTGGGGTGGGGGGAGGCGGTGACAGAGAAGTGAAATCCGAGTTAACTCTTAGTACCCTTTGGGTTACTGTTTTATCAAATGAAAAGAATCAAAGTTGGGCAGTAACTAATAAGGACGTTTAAGATGTCCTATGCCAATTCACCCAAATGGTAAGGTTGTGTTTAGATGGACTGTGATTGCAGGTTGATGTTAATATGTCACAGGATGCTATGTGAGGATAACTGAGGCCAAAGTTAGTAGGGAAGGTATATGGTAAGCTGGTGTTGTCCTAGGTGGGACCTTCACCAACATCTTTACCTTAACCAAAACTATGTTATCTATCTATCTATCTTCCTTCTATCCACCAATCATCTATTGTCTAGCTATTTAACCTATCTACCCAACCATCCATCCATTATTTATCTTTATCATCTATATCATCTCTATATTAACATCTATTATCCATCTGTCTGCCCATCCATCCATCCATCCATCCATCCATCCATCCATCCATCCATTTGTCATCAATCTATCATTCAAAAAACTCTCACCCAGCTACCAAGAGGTTTTCATCCACGAACAGCACTGCTTTCCAGGGGCACCTCTCCAGAGACTGACTCCACCTGACTTCATTCCTGGTTAGACCTCTGTGTGCATATTCCTCTGGCGTAATGGGTGCACAAGGTGAGGGGTCATGGCCTCCATCACTTTTACAGGGGTATCAACATCGAGGAGACTCACGTTAGTTAGCATCATGGGGTCTAGTCAGGTCACACAAAAAGGAGTTGTTATAAAAACTCATGGAGCCAGGCGGTGGTGGCACACGCCTTTAATCCCAGCACTCGGGAGGCAGAGACAGGCGGATCGCTGTGAGTTCGAGGCTGGGCTGGACCGACAGCCTCCAAAACAATACAGAGAAACCCTGTCTTGTAAAAACCAAAAAAAAAAAAAAACACAACTCATGGGTTGGATCTGGAGGGATGGATACGATTAAGAACACTTGCTGCTTTTGTGGAGGCTGTGAGTTCAAATCCCAGCACCCAGTTGGGCAGTACATAGCCACCTGAAACTAAAGTTCCAAGGGGCCTCTGTGGGTACGTTTTTGGTGTGAAAAGGCACACACAGTTAAAAATAAACCAAGACAAAAACTGGGTAGCATCTCGTACCTCATACCACTGAGCTGCAAACACTCTGTTAGGGGAGGGCAAGCACTCTTTCCACCAAGCTACGAGCACTGTATTAGCTGAGCTGAGAGCACTATATCCACTGAGCAACAAGCTCTCGAACTGCTGGGCTACAGGCACTCTGCCCACTGAGCTACAGCCAGCACTTCCCCCACAGAGCACCCTTGACAGAATAACCTTGGGGAAGTAGGGAACGGAGAAGGAAGGAGCCAGGGACTCACAGGTTGACGAGGAAGGGATGACTGATTTCCTTCAGGACTGCCTTCTCATTCTGCACATGCTGCTCCTGCTTCAGACGGATGACATCCGGGATGCTCATAATCTTCAAGGCATAGTACCGCCTGCCTGTTTTCTCCTTCACCAGGTTAACTCGGCCAAAGGTTCCGGTCCCTGAGGAAGACAATGCAGCCAGTTAACTCTCCCCTGAATCAGCATTCATAGCTGAGGAATGGACACCGTGTCGACACAGGACCTTAAAGCTGGACACAGGGAGAGAAACTTACATGAGCGCCGAGGACTTTATGGTTTTGTTTTCATGCACCACTGTCAATCACACGGCCAAGGAAACAGCTCTGAGGGTAAAGGGCTTGCTTTGCAAACCTGACAACCTGAGCTCGAATCTAAACCCATGTAAGCCAGGGTACAGGGTGGTTTAAATCCACTCAACAACTTTCCTGTGACAGTCTCAAGGATGCTATAGCATGCAACTACACATACATGTAGTAATAACAATGACTAAAACCTAAAAAAAAAACTGCCTGCTTTGTGCACTGGAGATTGGATTTCAAGGTGGTCACAATTTAAACACTGATATGGGAAGAACCCAGGTACTAGATGCAGTGACTCCTCACAGAGCACTTTTTTGTTTCTGAAAACAGGGTTTCTTTGTGTAACCTTGGCTGTCTTGGAACTAGCTCTGTAGACCAGGTTGGCCTCAAACTCACAGAGATCACCTGCCTCTGCTGGGATTAAAAATTTGTGCTACCACCACTGGAGATGTTGGAGTACTTTGGGGGCTGGAGAGATGGCTCAGAGATTAAGAGTACTGGCTGCTCTTCCAGAGGTTCTGAGTTCACTTCCCAGCAACCACATGGTGGTGCAATCATCTTGTAATGAGATGTGGTGCCCTCTTCTGGCATGTAGGCATAAGTGCAGGCAGAACACTGTATACATAATAAATAGATCTTTAAAAAAAACTAAAAAAGACATGTACTCAGAAAAAGCAAACCTCACTGGACAGTAGTGGCGCACGCCTTTAATCCTAACACTCAGGAGGCAGAGGCAGGCAGATTTCTGTGAGGTCGAGGCCAGCCTGGTCTACAGAGTGAGTTCTGGGACAGCCAGGATAGTTACAAAGACAAACCCTGTCTCAACCCCCTGCCCCCTAAAGAAAAAGAAAGAAAGAAAGAGAACAAAAAGAAAACCTCAAAAAATCCCAATCTTCTCCCACCATTGCAAACACGCAGGATGTTCCCCACAGCAAGCTAGAGCTAGGCAAAGGATCAAAAAGAACACACTCACAGCTAGACAGTGGGCTGAATAGCCCAATGACCATGAAAACCCCGTTCCTTCAGCACTAAAGTCCTGATAAAGGAGCAAAAGGCAGGCTTTGTCATGACCAGCCTCAAAAGTGTGTTTTTACTTTGCTACCTTAGCTTACAGTCCATTAACTGGGATATAAAATAGGTCTCTGTAGCTTTGTTATTTAGAATAGGGTGCCAATCAGTCAGGAGACACCTGCCACAGAGCATCACAGGATTGCAGGAGGCACACAGAGTCACAATTGGCCCTGAGTGGAAGCCAGGCATGGCCCAGAGTGGATCAGATGGGTAAAAAGTGTGTGGGAGTGTTTATAGACATTTAAAAGGGAACTGGGGTAATCACGCTGAAAATGCTCTTAAATAACCTCATCAGGGTCTGCCCCAGGCTACCCGTGAATATGGGATTCACTGAGGTGGGAAATCCCACCCTGAATGTGGGCATCACCCCTCCTTCGCTGTGGCCCTGGACTAAGTACAAAGGAGAAAGAGAGCTGAGCCTTAAGCAGTCACTTCTCTCTGATGCTACCACACTCCTGTCTCCATGATGGGCTGGTACCAGTCTGAGCCAGAATGATTCCTTCCTCCCTTAAATCCTGATTACCAAGCATTTTGTGACGGCAATGAGAAGAGCAAGTGCCGTGACAGCAGAGCCGTGCCTGCGCTTGTGCCCGGTGGATGGCACATGACTTTTGTGGCTCACATACACCGTGCGAGCACAGCCGGACAGATGCACTGCGATGTGCAGTCCGCAGCACGGCTTCTGCGTCAGATGGCTGCCGGCCTGTTCCCTTCACACTTGTGCCTGTGGCTTGTGGGCGCAGAGGCAGCTGGTGGTGTGGATTACACAGAGCAGGGGAGCTGCGGAGCCAAAGCACAGGCTGAGAAACCTAACACCGTGGAAAAGCACAGTACAGCAGAGTGCCAACTGCCAGAAGCTGCCAGAACAAAGACAACCAGAAAGTACCAGAAACTCCCAGGGCAAGGTGCTATGTATTTACTGCCTAGTGGGAGAAACTTAGCTCATCAGGGGTACGTCATTGAAGGGGACACTGGGACCCTGGTCTCCCCTTCTCTGTTTCCTGGCCACTATGTAGTAAACACCTCTGCTCTACCACATGCTCCCATGATGCATTGTGTCACCACAGGTCCAAAGCAATGGAGCCATGGACAGTCGGCTTTGAGACCAGGAGCTAACACAGATCTTTATCATTTTATTATGCCAGGAATTTTGTCACAGCAATGGAAAGCTAGCTAGTACACATTTCACACCAATTTTCAAAGTCTGTAGAATGAGCTGTGTTGTCATCAGGCCCAAGCATAAGTTGACTGTCCCTATACCACCTCCGACCTCCACCCCCATTCCCTTGGCTGTGAGCCAGCAACACAACCCACAATCACTCAAATGCATATTGCATCTGCCCATCCAAGTCAATGTACCAGCATCCTTCTGTGATGCAAAATCACTCTGTCTTCAATGCCTAAGCCCCAGCCATTCACACCAGTCACTCTAGGACAGTCCCTTGACCTGAAAACTGACTCCCAGGTCACGGGGGCAGCAAGGTAACAAACATCACCACCCATATTAATTGCACATGATTTATAGCCCTTACAGACTCCGAGGCTGCCCTCTATGTCATATGGATGAGTGGCTTCCCCAATGAAAAAAAAAATGACTACCTCAGAGTAGGAAGATGCTGCCCACACACTGAGCACAGTCTTCAAATGATAGTCAAGTCCACATACATGGGTACCTGGAACCTTACAAGAGTACTTTTCTGTATGTCTGGCATGGGGGAATATGAATTTTTATGTGGGTAGCAAGGCTCCTGGGTGAGCAGGCACAGATGTTACATGGAAGAGATCCAGATGCCCAGAACTAGGTCTCAGTAACAAATGGGGCACAAGTAGGACACAATTCCAGTAGGCTATGTGGATGGGTGCAGGTTTCTTTCCTTTTCTCCATCACATTGGAAAATGGTGATTTTTGTCCCAGGTCCATATAGCACCTGATGTGTTTAAAGAGGTGGGCGGGATGGGATGGAGGTGCAGCTCTGTGCTGGAGCGCATGCCTGGCACAAATGAGTCCCTTGGCTGTATCCCTGGCACCTAGCACAACAACAACAGCAATAATAGTAATAATCACAATGATAATACTACTAATAGTTTTCTCATGAACTGGGTGTGTAGCTCAGTGGAGTGTTTGTCTAGCATGTGCAAGTCCCAGGTTCCATCCCCCCGAAAGTAATGATAAAAAAATTTCCCCACATTCCATTCCCAGCCACACAAAGGAAAACACAAACTCAAGAGTGGACTGAAAGCACAACCTGGAATGTTCCTGCAGGAGCCAAGTGTCAGGTGTGCCGATGTGTTATTAGCACTGATGGCCTCCCACAGGAAGAGCCAATCTACTAAGCCACAAGCACTCTACCCAGAGTTCCAAGCACAGCATCAACCGAGTTACACCCTCAACCTCAGGGGAAAATCTTTTCAAAATAAAGGAAGTGTGATGGCCTGATGGTTATTTCACATAGGAAATACAACTGAAAGTAAGATATTTAGTGGAGCATAAATGAAGCCCTGGGCTCCATCTCCATCTTTGCATAAACTCAGCCTGGTGAAGTAGGCTTTAATTCTAGTACTTCTGAGGTAGAAGCAGAAGGATTACTATTGATTTGAGGACAGCCTGGACTACACAATGAGTTCCAGTAAAGCCTGAGCTACATACAGGGGGAGACTCGGGAAGGAAAAGGGGAGGAGGGAGGAGACTTAAAAGGGAGAAGGAGATGCTCTTACGCTCTTAGTGCAAATGAGGCTCTACAATCAACGCCCAGCACTTCAAAACTAAAATGCAAATCTGAGTGAATCCAGAGACAGTCTCAGAATGCACAAGTCCTCCAGAGAATGACGGTGTTGGCCTTAGAATATGGTTAGAATCAGCCTAGAGCACCCAGGTTCTAGGGGAGATGGAAGCAAGAAGCACTGGCCTGTGTGACTGGTGCTGTGACAAGTTCCTGACTTCCTCCTTCTTGGTGGTGTCCCCAATCTGGCCCCACCCCTAGAGAAAAATCATCTTGTATCTCACTCTAGAACCACCATCAGTGACTCAGGACAAGTGCCTCAAGAGAGGAAGATGAGGATCCCAGGGGCTGAGGAGATGGACAGACACACAGTCAAGGCTGAGGAGGACAGGGTGGACATCTTATATCCTAAGAGAGTGCTCAGGAGAAAACGGTCAGGAAAAGAACCCTGAAAGAATAAATCAAGGCAGTGAATAATTCCAGATGGATGCCAATGGGTGGGGTTCTAGATGGTGCAAGTAGGTTGTTTTAGATGAAGCAGGGTGGGTGGAATTCCAGATGGTGAAGATGGGTTCAGTTAAGATAGCACAGGGTGTGTGGCTTTCAAGACATACATAGGTTCAAGTCAGAATGGCCCAGGTGGACTTCAAGATGGCACAAACAGGATCAAGCAAAAATGACCCAGAGTAGGTGGGATTTAAGATGGCACAGAGTGCGTTCACCTCTTGTCCTCCTGCCAAGGACAGGAGTATGAGTTGTAAGTGCATCAGCCCTGTCACCCTGAGGCTCTAGGGAGGGCCTTCCCTACCCAGTCCACCTCCTGGTTGCTCCAGATGTCCTGTGGCCATATCCTCCATCTCACGATCCTTCACTTAATCAGGACCGATGCTTGGCTTGAATGATAATGAGCCCCGCCCCCATAAACCACAAGTAATTAGAAGGTGGCCCTCAGGGATGTGGTGATGAGGTGAGGGGCCTTGTGCACAGCATTCTCACCTTTAGGGACTTTGCAAAAAGAGAGAACAGTCCAGTGCATGATGGGTGAACAGTCCCTTTCTGGTGTATGATGGGACTGCTCTAGAAGGAGCCAGAGGCCTTTGAGGTACAATGTGGGTAAGTGTGTATTTGCATACCCATGAATGGTATGCAAATCTCACACCCTACTCCTTTATTGCTAACCAGGCATGTGGCAGTGAGTGGGGCTTGTGCAGGGGATGATGTCATGGATACAGGAGCATGATACATCCACAGGCATGGGTACTGGTGACCGGTGGTACTGACTGATCGGTGATTTACTGATTTTTTTTTTGACTGAATGATTTTTTTTCCTTTTTAAGCACCTGGGTCCCCAGCCATGCTGGAGAACCTCCCACCTCAATGTAACAACTGCAAGTGTATCCTAGATGGTTCTAGATTCAGATTATCACCACTATGGACTACCAGGTGGTGCTCCCCTCCCCCATGGGGCACTCAGCAATTCTAGTGTATAAGGTGTTTGCCTGGGGCAACTTGACAGTCAGCCAGTCATGTGACCCTACATCTAAGGACGAGACTCACGGATGAGTCCAGGGAAACAAGAATGCGGGAGAGGTCCGGACAACCCGAGGAGTCCTGTTCAGCAAATTTCGATCTGAGATCCACTGAGCTGCAAGTACTCTACCTACTGAGTTACAAGTACTATGTCCACTGAGCTATAGGCAGTCTGCCCACTGAGTCACAAACACACACCCACTTAGCTATAATACTCTACCCACTGAATGGAAGCACTGTATCAACTGAGCTACAAGTACTCTATCCACTGAGCTATAAATAGTCTGTCCACTGAGTCACATGAACTGTATCTGTAGAAACACAAGCAGTCTTCTGGCAAGGCAGTAAGCACTACTCCAACTAAGCTATAAGCACTGTACCCACTGAGTCACTTCCTCAGCCTGGAATGTTCTTTACTTGAATTTCCAAACAAACGGAGAAATGTTTCAGGTAGGAGGCAATACCATCAATATTTCCTGGAGAATGTAGAGTGGGGTGTGTGCAGGTGACTGACGGGTGATGCAGGGCTTGCCTGGCGAGCTCTAGAGCACGCCATGAGAATGGGGGGGGGGGTTGGTTCCCTGCAGACTTTGGTGGTGTGTACTTGTAGGCACCAATATTCCGGGCCAGCCTGTTCCACACATAAAGTACCAGGAAAGGCAGGGCTACACATGGAAGCCCTGTCTCAAACACCCCCAAAGCTCCATGTTTGTCATAGACACGGTCTAAATTTATGTGAGCGTTCAATGAGGAAAATGCTTGTACCTCAGTTAAGTGTGTGCATATAAAATGAAAGGATGAGTGGGAGAGAGGGGAGGCAGACCTGTGCACCCAGGTCCTTCTAGAAGGTTCGGAGGGAACAGGCTCACAGTATACAAAGGTTGTAGGACTCAGGATGTGACATAGCTCAGAGAGGCTCCCAAGATGCCCAATTCAGTCCATGCTCTGGACGCAGTAAGGCGGAAAGAGGGCTCAGTAGGTGAAGGAGCTTGCTGCCAAACCCAAGGATTTGGGTTCAATACCCCGGATCCACTTGGTGGAAGGCAGAATAAGAGACACGTAAAAGTCAATCCCTGACCCCCACACTTGTGCTGCCCCCCCATCACTGCATGCACAGTAAATTAGTGAATTTTAAAATTAACACAAGAGCCAGGTGTGGTGGCATACGAATTTAATCCTCACACTTGGGAGGCAGAGTCAGGAGGATCTCTAGGAGTTCAAAGCTAGCCTCAAGTCTACAGAGTGAGTTCCAAGACAACCAGGGCTATGTAGAGAGTCCGTGTCTCCAAAACCTTCAGAAAGACAAGGGTGGAGAACCAGCTGAGGCGCTGAATGCCTGTGAGCTTCTATGGTTCCAGCACTGGGAAAGCTAAGATTGGGGATTGCATGGAGTCTTTAGTCGGCTTGAATGTATGCAGAGACAACTCATTAAGGGCCGGGACTTGGTTCCCAGCACCTTATAACCAATCTGCCGGTGGAGTAGAAGGACTGACTGCAATGTCAGCATTTGGGAAGGGTTGGTAGGGGAATGTGTACTTTAAGGTCACCCTGGACTACACAGTGACAGGAAGGCCAGTCAGGGCTACATCATCATCAGTAAACGGCAGTCAAGCGGCTCCAGTTTCCCTCAAAAGACAATCATAAATCGGGACGCAGCAAGTGTCAACCTCCAAACGGGAACCTGGATCGAACTCAGGTCGCAAGCTCCTTACCCACGGGGCCATCTCGCCGCCCCGCTGAAAAGGTGTTAATTCTCCATCAGCCCAGGCCCTGAACCCCGACTTGACTTCCTCCCTTCCAGCATCGGGGTGCACGGACAAGTCTCTAGAATCTCTGCCTGGAACCCAGAGGATGACGCCAGTCCCTCCCTCCTTCCGTCCCTCCTCCAGGAACACTTTGCTAAAAATCAACACACTGAGGGCAACTGTCCTAGCGACCGAGGTGTCTGAGACGCTCCGGACTCCCAGGGTCAGACTTGAGAAGCTGCCACCCACACGCCTCGCGCGATCCCAGCCCCCTTGAAGCATCCCGGCCCATGCGGGAATCCACCGGCTTCCCCAGCAACCTGCGGGGTCACGGGAGACCAAGTTTGGAGTAACTAAAGAAAAACCGAGACCCGGGCACACAGGAGATGCGGGAAAACATCGGCATACCTACCCCTGAAGGGTCCCCCAGAGGTCGCAGCCCTCCGAGCCCCACCAGGGGTCCATACTTGGGAGGCTGAGTTATACCACGAAGCATCCTGGGCCTGAGCGGGTGCGCAAGCGCCAGGAAGACCGGGCGTGGTGTCCCCGGGGTGACTGGCACCCCAGCAGGGAGTCACCGAGTCCCCAAGGTGAAGTCACCTCACCTTCCTTAAAGCTTTGTAACGTGGGGCCACCCCGTTTCCGGAGACCGTGTACTGAGTGTGTGGGATATAAAAGCCCCAGGGTCACAGGGGACCCTTGAGTGACCGCCTACTCGCGAGTTCTCACTCACCCACAGTGGCCACAGTGTCCCAGTCCTCCAGCGAGTGTCCAGCTTTGTGTGGAAACGACGTCCTGGACAGGGGGGTCTCCAGCTGGCGCCGAGACCTTGGCATCGCCAGGTTCGTCTCGGGCCGCAGGATCCTTCCCGGTCGCCGCGGCCCCCGCGGGCGGCTCCATGGGGCGGGGGACGCACCGTGCGACGGCGGCGCAACAACAGCCTCGGCATCAGCAGAGGCCTCGCACGCGCGTCTCGGCTCCCACGGCCGTAAGGACAATGGAAGCGCGCACAGCAGGGCTCAGAGCGGCGGGAGGGTCTCGGAAGCGGCCAGGGGGCTCCGCGAACGCGCGTGGGGTCCACGGGACCGGCGCCAATGGCAACGCTCTTCCTCCCCGGCGGAAGCCGGCTGGGCGGGGACCGGTCTACGCCGGCGGGGGGTTGGGGGGCGGGACCACGCGCTCCGCCCTCTCGCCTATCCCGACCTGGGAGGAGCCTGGTCGCAGCCCCGCCCTGCCTGTTACTCACCCGCGGGACCCACGGGACACACCTACACCAAAGTAAAAGAGATCGAGGGGACTGCTCCGGGGAAACCCGGCTAAAGCCCCGCCCCCTCGGCAGGAAGCAAGAAAGAAGAGGCGCAGGGACTTCCGGCTGCCACCCGTGGATGTCCCTGGCAGAACCCGAGCGATGGAGAAGTGGGGGCACCAGGGGGGAGGAGTCCGGGTGGGGCACGGCTTCCAAGAGAGTTTCCCGAGGCTGGGGGATGGAACTTACAACGTTGTCTGGCGAGCGCTACAAGCGCCCCGCGGTCCCCGGGCCCCACCCTTCCGCCCGGAAAGTCCGTGCTCACCGTGGACCCGAGGCACCTGCTGGTCCTGAGCCCGAGGATTCCTGGGCAGACAGGGTTTCCAAGGACCTGTTATGCGGCACTATACACGCTTGGACTCGCAGGGCGTGCTGAGAACGCGGTGCTTTTCGGGCCAAGCCGCCACCTGCAAGGCGTGGGCAGTATTTCCCTGAGCCTGGCATGCAAAGAATGCAGTTCCCCCGGCTGCTTAGGACCTGCGCGAGGCACAGCCCTGCTCTTAGCTAGGAGGCACAGGGTTCTGAGAGACACAGGGCCAAAAGCAGCCCAAGACAGGGGTAGAGTAGGGACCATCCATTCAGGAGCTGGTGTCGTGATGGCGCCCGTGGCAGGTACGTCTGATCTTGAAAACAAGGACGTCTCCTGGCTTATATTTTATTGTTTCACATTGAGAACATTTATTCATTCAGTAAACACTGAGTACCTGCTAGGACCCGATACTCCACTAGTCAGAATGCACCGAACATGCTATTATTACGGTTTTCGTTTCACGCTGACAAAAGCATTTATTCAAAGCAGCAAACACTGACCATCTGATACAGCCAGATACTCCATAAGAATGGCTGCTCGAGCAACTAGGATCTGAGTTCGAATTTCCAGTACCCATGTGAATCATATACACATGTGCCTGAGGCAAGAGGATGGCCAGTCTTGTTCCAGTGTGCTCCTCTGCTCGCCCCCTCCCGCCCCCCGTGTGTGCACATTCCGCTCAGCCTAGGGTCGGCCACAGCCCTAACAGGTGTCACCTCCCTGAGACCCGGGGTGATGTGAGACCTAGTATCTAGAGAGGGCTGCAGGGTCATTACCCAGGGCTGCCATGCCATGGCTGTTCCTCCCCCGTCCCCAGCGCCCCGTCACACAGTGGGTCTCTTTGCTTCCTGCTTTGTACTCTTCAGGCTTGTTTTGTTCCCATAGATCACTCAGTCCGCAGGACGACCTCGTGAACCCAGCCCTCTCCGTGTTAGCTGCTTTTGTGGCGCTTCTGCATGTTCTGCTGACATCATATGTCACCTTGATATATGGCTTTGGGGTTTCTCTCAGGGGTTCAGTACTGATGAAGCTGGGGCCGCCCGGGGTCATAGAGCACTTGCACCTGAAAGCAGCTCCTGCTTTGGCCTGAACAGAGGCCATGACCATGCATTGTTTTGGCAGCTCGACCACTGCCAGGCAGAGCGGGTTTGTTTGTTTGTTTATTTATTTTTAAATATGTATTTATTATGTGTACAGTGTTCTGCCTGCATGTCTGCCTGCAGACCAGATCTCTTTACAGATGGTTGTGAGGCACCATGTGGTTGCTGGGAATTGAACTCAGGACCTCTGGAAGAGCAGCCAAGGCTCTTAACCACGGAGCCATCTCCCCAACCCCAGAGCAGGTTTATTAAAAAGCAAACGCCAGCCACTGATAACTGAAGCAAACCTCCCTCAGATGCAGAACATGTGCCGTTCAGACCCCAAAGAGCTCATGGTGGCAACGAATCTGCCCCTACCAGGAATATGGTAGAAATGCAGAAAAAGAAATCAAAGGAAACATGGGCAATCAAGGGTTGGAGATGGGGCTGGGGGTGTGGCTCAGTGGGTACAGTGCTTCTAAGCTCAGTGGGTAGGTGCGTGGAGCTTGTTTGATCCAAGATGGCGCAGGGTGGTGACATGAAAGATAGTACAGCTTGGGCTGGATCCAAGATGTAGCAGGGGCCTCCAGATGTGAGGGGTGGCTTCCTTGTCAGGCCCCAAGGAGGATCCTTTCAGCTACTTCCAGCTTCTGAGTGCCTCATGGGCAGCCTTTTTTCTCCTCATGGGTGGCCCTGGTTTCTCTTCCCTGTCCCCGATTTTTGGGACAATGCTGCTGCTTTCCGCCCTCTGTTCAGTTCCCGTATTTGGCAATGAAGTTGCAAGTAATCTCCACAGGGCTTTTGTTTTTAAAGAAAAGTCCCTTTTTTTGTTGTTGCTGATCAAGGAGTTTGTCACAGCAGCAGGAAAGAAATCAAAACACACGCTTCATCGTTCAGGCTGATGTCAAATGCGACTCTTCTGCACTGGCACACCCGCCTGGGGGGCTGCCTGAAAGTATTCAAAAACAAACAAACAAAAATCGGGTTCGATGGCTCAGTGTGTGAAGGCTCTTGCATCATGACTGACAGCCTGAGTTCAGTCCTCGGTCCCATAACACTAAGAGGACTGAACTGCTAACCTGAATGTGAGCAACCTATCAACTGAGCTACAAGCACTCTACTCTCTAATCTGCAAGCACCCTACCCAGTTAGTGATAATACCCTCAGAAAGGACGAGAAACGGGGCTGCCGTAGATTAAAACTGTATTTAAGAAGGGTTTGTGGGTTTGGTGAAACATGAAACACAGGTAGTTGATTACTGACAGCAATCATTGTAAAGCAAGTTCCTTTAAACGGATAGTAAAAAAAAATTCTCTTTTTAGGGCCTGGTACCAAGATAAACTGTTTGACTTTCTCAGTTGGAGGCTGTGTAGCTTTCCAGGGAGGCCTGGGGCCTGCTTTTTCCTATGAGGAGACCTGAGAAAGCCTTTGAAGCCTTGGGAACATAGCTGGGTGCTTGTTGATGTTAAGACTACAGTTAGTCAGCCAATATCAGCAGAGACCTGAGAAAGAGAAACTAGCTGGAAGCAGAATCTAAAAGGTCATGTATCGATTAAAATGACAGAGACCCATTACCTAGATGGGGTACCTTAGGCTCCAGTGGTCTTCATAGTTTTGTTGGTGGCAGTAGTTGGTCTTTGGCTGTCATACAGGACAGCATTTAATCTTCATCTGTCATATAGAACAGCAAAGGCCTTTCTTTGGCTGTCAGTCCCAGGTCTGAGAGATGTTTTTTCTGTAGAGTAACTTGGGAAAACTTATCTTACTTCATCCAGACAAAGTAGGGCAAAGTGTCCACAGTTTGGTGGCCCGTGAGGCATGGGGCAGTTTTTGTCCAGTGGTTAGTGTTTTTTTTTAATAAAACATATGTTGTTGTCAGTGTTTTCACCTAACATATATATGTTGTAACTTATCTAAATTTTCTTTAAGTCTGGTGTTGAACAGTTAGTAAAGACACAAGTAGTTAGGTGTAAATCTCTATGCTAGTTTTTGTTAATTTCTGTATACCTTTACAACCTTAAATTTTTATCATAATATACAATCCATACCAATCCAAAATATTTGATGATGTGCCAAGTTGCAAAGTCCCCGGAGACCACCAGGAAGACCCATCAAACTGCAAAAGCAAGGTTTAATGTTTGTTCATCCACCCATGACAGGGACACTCTCTGGCAAGCTGACACAGCATCCTCCAGAGGGAGTGAAGTTCCCTGTCTACTACTAGGTTTTATAGACAAAAGTTACAGGATTACATCAGCAGTTATGGGTTGGTTTCTGATTGGTTCACATTTGGAAACAATTAGGAGAATTTCTTAAAGTCTTATTTTGGCATGAAATACCTGTGTACCAATTATTTTCATTGGTCAGTGCTGAGAGGGAACATTTTGTGGTTTCTATGGCATTGTCTTCTTACTTGTAGGTGGCTTGTTCATATAAAATATCAATAGTTTTCAGAACTATATCCTGGAGACTACAGGGGAGGTTTTTGTCCCTCCTGGAGTTTCTTTTGTGCCGAAACAGTTCCCAGGAACCAAGCATCTGGGAGGCTGATAGGGGGGTCTGGAGTTTCTTTGTGTTCAGTTTTGGCCCTAGGCTCTGGGAGGCCAGAGGATCTGGAGTTTCCTTGTGTCAGAGGCCTGTGTCTCTTTTCTGTAGCCTGTCATGGCTGCTAAAGCAGGGGACTGAGTGAGGGTCTGGTCCCATTATTTCTAAATTATTAGAAGCGAAGCCTTTAAGTTTAGTTTACCCCTTTCATTTGAGATCTTTTGTCTCCTTAGCTAAAAGGGGACAGTGATAGGCAGAGATCCCAGTAGGGTTGAGTTTTATAATTGTTGCTTTATACCAAGTAGTCATCTGAGGATGACATGAATCACATGGCAAGTACTCTAACCTTAGTAAAAATGGTTGCCACCCACTTGGTTGCTTAAACCTTGATAACGCCAACATGGAGAAATGTCACATGGGCGCTATTTAAAAAACGTCTATTTTCATAAACAAGAGTTGAATCTAAGTTATATACACAGTATATTCTAAACAAGAGCTGAATCATGTATGCCTTTAGTTATGTTTTAAGCTAAATTTTGTTACAGATTTTATAGAACCTAAACCATATTCCTGAATTTACAAATCCTGAGTGTAATCTTTGTGCATTATTTGTTTGTTTTGTTTTTGAGAGCAGAGTGGGTAGTTGTAGAACCTTAGCGATAAAAGACTTTGAGATCACTTGTTTGTGGCAGAAATTGTTACAATCTTCAAGAATTTGGGAGTCAAGTGTGTCAGGTTTTGTCTATTGATTGATACTGAAGCCAAGCTGTAGTAATAAAGTTGAGTCCATGGAGAAAGAGAGAGTGACTCAAAAAAACGGAACACCAGTCCATGTGTGGCAGGGAGGGGTTCCCGAGGGAGGTGAGAGAGGAAGCTATGGGACGAGATATAGTGTAGGGTGCTGCAGGT